CTGGGCTCAAGCGAATCTCCTGCCTCCGCCTCCCAAGTAGCTGGGACCACAGGTGCCCGCCACAATGCCTGGCTATTTTTTGGTTGCAGCCATTGTTGTTTGGTGGGCCTGGCTGGATTCGAACCTGCCACCTTAGGTGTATGTGGCTCGCGCCTTAGCCACTTGAGCCACAGGTGCTGAGGCCTAAACTACTTAATTTTGATGTTTAAATTCTAATTTTAGAATAATTAGGACTCGCCCAAGGGTAGAGGGTCCCCAACATGACATGGTAGCTCACAACTTAAAACTGGGTTCAAGAGATCTTTTTGCCTCAAACTCCCCAGTAGCTGGAACTACAGATCCCCTCCATGAGGCCTGGCCAATTTTTCTATTTTCAGTAGAGATGGGGCCTCACTCTTGTTCTGGCTGGCCTTGAACTCCAGAGCTCAAGTAATTCTCCTGCTTTGGTCTCCCAGAGTGCTAGGATTATAGGCATGAACCACTGTGCCCGGTCTTATTTTTTTCCTTTTAGAGACAGGGTCTCTCTCACCCAGGTTGGAAGGCAGTGGCCATAGTCATAGCTCACTGTAACCTTGAACTCCTGGGTTTAGCAGCTGGGGCTCCAGCTACCATGCTCAGATAATTAACACCCTAATTTTTTTTCTGATTATAGGCCTCCCATTGTGTGGCTTGTAATGCACTTACTATATATAAACCTTTTTCTTTTGGGGCATTAATAGTATTTTCTATTAAATGCATTTATATATGTAAATGAGATACTGTAAGTAAAAACATTTAAATAGTTTGGCATAGTGTTAGCTATTATATTTATATTCTACTAGTATGAACTGCAACACAAAAAGCCCATTTGATTCTTCCATGCAAGCGTCATATTTTTCACTATATGAAAAGTTGACAATAGTCCAGAGATTGTTTGTAATTTATTCATATACATATTCATGCTAAAGTCAAGGTATCAAAAGTTGAAAACATACAATTTTGAGAAATTTTCACTTTTTTCCCATTCTGGGAAATGAGCAAGGCAGAAAACAGAAGGTAGGGAGAATTCATAATATACCATTGGGGGCTCGGCGCCTGTAGCTCAAGCAGCTAAGGTGCCAGCCATATACACCAGAGCTGGTGGGTTTGAATCCAGCCCAGGCCTGCCAAACAACAACAAGTGCAACCAAAAAATAGCTGGGCATTGTGGCGGGTGCCTGTAATCCCAGCTACCTGAGAGGCTGAGGCAAGAGGAGCGCTTAAGGCAAAAAAAAAAAAATGTATATATATTTTTGAGCTGGGGATGGTGGCACATGCCTGTAATCTTAGCAGTCTGGGAAGCCAAGGCAGGTGGACTGCCTGAGCTCAGGAGTTCGAGACCAGCTTGAGCAAAAGCAAGACTCCATCTCTGCTAAAAATAGAAAAACTGAGGCAAGAAGATGCTTGAACCTTAGTCTGAGGTTGCTGTGAGCTGTGATGCCACAACTCTCTATCCAGGGCGACGGCTCGAAGCTCTGTCTCAAGAAAAAAAAAATTATTCTGGGAAAAATAAACCTTTGGTTAAAATCACACCCACACTCAAGCACAAAGAGTTAAAATGGGAAGCAAAAGCTTTCTTAAATGTTCCCCAAAATGAAGAATGAAGGTAGTGTAGCCAGTGAGATTTAGGAAGGTGAAGCTGTATGGTTTTTTTTTTTTTTTTTTTT